ATCTTCCCTCTTGTGTAGTTTGGATGATAAACAAGGCATGGGCCACTATGTGTATATGCATAGTGAGGTGGAGCTATCTAATATATATAGTATATATTACAAAGTACATTTATGCCTCCCCTAATAAAATGTTTTAACTTATGATAATATGCAAGCCAAATAAAATATAGGCTTAAAACATTTCTTAACTAGAAGGGCGATATAGATCAAAATACATTTTACTCATGACTTGATTTATGAAATTTTAACCTCTTTGTAAAACTACCTAATAAAAGTTTTGACTAGTTTTATCTTCCAAAATTAAGTTTATTAACAAATTTAAACATTTAACTTGATAAAGATCATTTTCTCAATAAGATTAAATAATTCTCACATCTATCATTTATATTCATGAATACGTCCATAAACAATAAATTCTTTTTTAGGTCAAGGCATATTAATATGAAAATTAGTGTGAAATATTTAAATATAATCATAATTAATATATTAGAATATGTCCATGTTGTTAAAAAGAGAATGACTGTATGTGTGAAGTGACAGAATAGAATTTAATTATACTTTTCATTTGTGAATTTCCAACTACATTTGTCTGTTTTTTCCATGTCACTTCTCCTTATTGTTTGCTTGATTTTCTGTAAATATAGAACTGTTCAATAATGTAAAAAAAATCTATTAATTTAAAAATAGAAACTACATTTCAAATGTGAGAAGTTTGTAAGTACTCTATTATACTGTTCCCTCTTCAAAACCTCCAAATGTTGCACTAAATATCAGCTTTTGATTTATTTAAATAAATTTAAGGAGTCTCAACAGTTGTCATAGGAAATGTCTCAGAAAAGACAAGCCATATAAAATCTCCTTATTTTTATGCTCTGTAAGTAATGAATATTGAGTTTCAGATATGTGCAGATACATTACTTAGAGACTCTTGCTTCAGAAGGAACTGAAGAAAATATCCTTTGAGCTTTATGTGGAGTCTTTTGAGGAACCTCCATACTGCTTTCCAAAGTGGTTGAACAAGTTTACACTAGAGCTCCCCTATGACCCAGCAATCCCACTTTTGGGCATTTACCCAAATGATCACAAACAAGGCCATACTAAGGCTACCAGCACAATTATGTTTATCACAGCATTATTTACCATAGCTAAGATATGGAACCAACCCAGATGCCCCTCAGTAGATGAATGGATCAAGAAATGTGAGATAGATAGATAGATAGATAGATAGATAGATAGATAGATAGATAGATAGATAGAAAGATAGATATACAATGGAATTCTATGCCTCCATCAGAAAGAATGACATTGCCTCATTTGTTAAAGAAATGGAAAGACTTGGAAAAAAATATATTAAGTGAAGTAAGCCAGGCCCAAAGAAACATAGGTCCCATGGTTTCCCTTATTTGAAATACCTAGTACATGTGTAGGACAAGCAGAAAAGGCCAAAAGCTATGTACATATGACCATATAAGATGATGTTAAGTGAAGTGAACCCCAAGATAGGGACACAAGAGGTTTCTTCTTTCTTGCTACTGTTTCTAACGTATTTATAAGGTACCATGTGATTTCTTGTTTCTTTGTATGTTCCTCCCCCTTGGTATAACCCCTGTTTTCACTGTATTTGATGTTCAGTGCCCTGCATCTTATATGTACACTTCTCTAATTCAAGGAGAGGAAGGGAAAAAACAAAATGTTTAAATAAAGTTGACACATTGTAACAATGAGATGTACAAAACACTATGTTGAAAAGGAACTTTACAACTTCGGCAGAGTGGGGGTTAGTTGTGGAGTTAATTGGGAGGGGAGGGATAATAGGGGGAAAACAAAGGAGGAGGCAACAATGCTCAATAGGAAATGTACTCATTACCTTGCTTATGTAACTGTAATCCCTCTGTACAGCATTTTTACAATAAAATATACAAAAACGATGAAAAAAAAGAAAATGTCATTTGAAAGTTTGAAAGCCATTTGAGTCAGCTAATCCAAGTCAGGCTGTAGGACCACTTGCTGTGAAAAGAGTCACTAAGCACATAAAATTCTCAAAAGACCTACCTCCTTAGGGTAATTCCCTGGCTTGTTGTTATAAATATCAATGTACAATACAGATGGGTCTATAAATCTGTCTCCTCTGAGCTCTGGAGCAAGGAATGATTCTCTCAATTAAGTGTTATGAATATCACAGCAGACGGCGCTAAGGAAAAATTTAAGATCTACCTTTTTATGTTAATTTTGATTTAGAAAGGCCATGCATCCACCAGGTAAATCAAAACTTTTAAGTAATTGAAACCATGGGCATTGTAGTTCACATTTCTGGATTAAAAAGTGATTTATCTTACATCCTGGAAGAACAGTAAATGTGCCAATGTTCTTCATGCTGTAGCTGCCATCCTCTCATTGTGTTAAACATGTGAAGTTCTAAAAGCAGTTTGTTATTGCTGTTGTTGTTGTTGTTGTTGTCAGTTGTGGGGCCTGAACTCTGGGCCTGGGTGCTGTCCCTCAGCTCTTCAGCTCAAGGCTAGCACTCTACCACTTGAGCCACAGCACCACTTCCAGCTTTTTCTGCTTATGTGGTGCTGAGGAATCAAACCCAGGGCCTCATGCATGTAAGGCAACCATTCTACCACTGAGCTACCTTCATAGCCCCCTAAAAGAAGTTTGAAAGAGTAAATTTGCTATATTGTAAGCAACTTGATAAATATTTGCAGTTATTATTATTGATATTTTGATTGTATTGTCAGTTTCTGTACTGATATTTGATTTTTCTATTTAAAAATGCTGTTAATTATCTGACATTGCTCTATAGCAAAGCCAGGCACTGCGAAGGAGATAAGCAAATAGTCAAGGGGCTAATTCAATTGTGATTATATCTCTTTCTTGCATTGTTTCTAATATTTCATTTTTCAATTATTTTTATTATCCTTAAGTAGTTATCAAAGGGTTTCAATTCTAGCATCAGGTTTTGAGCACAATGCATCTTCATCAATAATCACCACTTTTATCATTCTCCCTCATCTCTCCCAAACTCACCCCTTCCCTCAATTAACTGGATCCATTTTCACTTGTGTACATTGAATATTATGATTGCTTTTGCCATTCTTCCTTTCTCCATTCATTTACATCCCTTCCTTGACCTTCTCTCCCCACCCTGACATGTTCCATCTACCTAGTGTTTGTTTTTTAACTGCAAATTTGTGGTTTGAAGGAATTATACCATCGCAATACTCTAGTGCATATACCATACTTTAGTTAATGTTTGTTCATATATGCATATGACACTATGTATTTACATATATATTTATAATTAGATCTCCTTTATATATTTTTATGCATGCTATCTCTGCTCTTGGACCAGAAATTTTACATCTTCTTCCTCATCTGAACATAGAAAGGGAGAAAAAAAGTGGTAGAGGAGAATAAATACAGTGTGAGGGTAATAGGATAAATATAGAATATGTGCTGCTGATGTGATCATGTGGCTCACTTCTTGGTTAAAAGTTTATACTATCTGAAAATAATTTCACTTAATTCAGGGGCTGAGCGATATCTTTACTTGTGATTGTGCATCCACATGGTGGTGGTAGTATGACAGCCCCATAGCCAGATAGTAGAATTTGTGCAGATCTGATCTTAGCAACGATTTCTGCATTGAATAACATTTGTTATCCATGATTAATACTTCTGGGTTGCAACCAAAACATATGAGTAAACATATACATCATTTTGCTAACATTGCTGTTTTTGATTACCAACATGACCAACTGAAATAATGATTTATAGAATGGAAAAAGAATAATTTGTACTTGAGACATTTTACAGAAAATCCATATTTACTTTTAGATAATTATTGATGTCCTAAAAATAAGAACTATTCCTATGAAAAACAGTTGGTAAAATTTGATCTCATTCTCTTGCTAGATCTGAAGATGCCCATCATGCTACGCCATAAAAAGCTCATTCATATTGGATAGGCATCGGATGGATAGTAATATGGATAGACTATTTACTGTGTATAGGTATTAGTGTGAGTGGTTATATATCTTCCTTTGAATGTTTGTCTGCTTGGCTGTTTAATGAGTTACAAGACAGAGGGGAGATAGTTGTTAGGCAATGGATTTTTATTTAACTAAAAGTTAAGTAATACAACTTTTTGCAGCACTTTAAATTTCACGTAGATTCATCTATTCAAGTATTGTCTTCAAAGGCTTACATGTGACACAAATGAAAAGATATTTTCTCTTGTGGTAGAAAGTTTAGGCCAACAGAGAAAAGCTTACAAATTTAGAGAAGGACACAAGAATAGACATCTTCATGCTGTTTCCACCGATGTCAAGTTACCCCATAACACTTCTTTCATCCATTTGTCTATGGAAAAATGGAATTTTCCCTTCTGTCTTCTAATACTTACATATGGACAAAATAAAGGGGAAAAAGTACCTTTGTCATTCATTATTTATTACCCAGTCATCAAATGCAAAGTCTATATTATAGTTCAAAAAACATACACATAATATCTCTTTCAAATACATAGCATCACATAAAATAAAGAATCTGACCTAGTTTTCTGATGTACACATTTTCAAACAAAAACCAAATGCCCTACAGAACTTAAGGGATTTGCCACAAATCACTCAGTCATTTGAAAACTTAGAACAATGTCATTGATCAAGATTCACTGCACTCATAAACTGACATGAAGAAATGAAAATTCTCTGTAGAACTACTTAAAGAGAACAGTAAAATATACAAATAAATACTTATCTCTAATCATATTATTCATGACTCAATCCTACTTCATCCTACCCAAAGTAATAATTGAGACATGATTAATTTGGAGGAAATTTCTACTAATGTTTATTCGATATTTTTTTCCTACAGTACATTCTAATCACTTGTCTGTTGCAGTACTCAACTATACAGCTACTCAGCTCACTTCCTTTCTCTTAACCGGTGTTCCAGGATTAGAAAGTGTCCAAGTTTGGATCTCCATCCCTTTCAGCTTCATGTATCTCTTGGCTGTAATTGGCAATGGCCTTGTTACAGCTGTGGTAGCCTGTGACAGACAGCTTCATCAACCCATGTATGTCTTCTTGGCCATGCTGGCACTCAATGATGTCCTCCTGTGTACCGTCACAGTACCCCAGATGCTTCTTATCTTCTGGAAGGGGCCTTCCCTGACTCCGTTTGCTGCCTGCCTCACACAGATGTTTTTCGTTCATGCTCTGTTCCTCTCCGAATCTGCTGTCCTGCTGGCCATGGCTTTTGATCGCTATGTGGCTATCTGTACACCACTGCACTATGCAACCTTGCTCACAGGCTCTCTCATTGGTAAAGTGGGCCTCATTCTGGTAGCTCGGAGTATAATTGTTGTCACCCCTGGTGTCCTTCTCATTCTTCGGCTACACTTCTGCCGAAGCAACATCATCCACCACACCTACTGTGAGAACATGGGCATTGCCAAGTTGGCCTGCAATAGCATTGCCCTTAATAGTATTTATGGACTCAGTGCCGCTCTCCTCACCACAGGGCTGGACTTTGTCTTCATCTCTCTTTCCTACTGGTTGATCTTGAGAACAGTCCTGCAATTGCCGTCAAGGGAGGCACGGACAAAGGCCTTTGGAACCTGTGGAGCTCACATATGTGTCATCTTGGTATTCTACACTCTGGCTTTCTTTTCTTTTTTTACTCATCGTTTCGGGCACCGTGTGCCCAGGCATACCCTTATCCTCCTGGCAAACCTCTATTTACTGGTGCCACCTACTGTGAACCCGATTGTTTATGGAATAAAGACCAAAGAGATAAGGGCGAGGGTGCTAGGACTCCATTGTCAAACCAGATGATCTAAATGCAGATGCCTTTAAAATGGCCTTAAAAATGGAATGAACAAGGCAGGCAACTCCCTTCCCCGCCTCCTCCAAAGTTGTAAAGTTCGTTTTCGACATATAGACTTGTACATCTTATTGTTGCAATGGGTCCACCTGTATCCCTATTTAAACAATTTGTTTTTTCCCTTCCCCTCCACAAATTTTACCAACATCAAATACAGTGAAAACAGGGTTTTTCCATGGGAGAGGGACATAAAGATCAACAAAGAAATCACATAGTAAATATGTTAGAACCATATATACAGAATGGAATTCTATGCCTCCATCAGAAAGAATGACATTGCCCCATTTGTTAGGAAATGGAAAGACTTGGAAAAAAATTATATTAAGGGAAGTAAGCCAGGCCCAAAGAAACATAGGCCCCATGGTTTCCCTTATTTGCAAAAACTAATATATGTCTGAGACAAGCAGAAATGGTCAGATAAGTTAATGTTAGGCAAAGTGAACCCCAACATAAGTACTCAAATGTTTTTTCTTGCTTTTTATGGTTTAAAAATTTTTTTTAAAGAAATGGAATGAACAGGAAGTCAACAGAAAATTTAGGTTACCAAGAAGGATTGTGCTAACATTTATCCATGTAAATCAGCAAGGACAGGAGAAAAATGAAATTTCTCTGAAGTCAGGGATTACTTCTAAGTTCAAGTTCACTATTACATCAACAAGATCCCAGAATATAAAGAATTTCATAAATAATTGTTGAATAAATGAACTCCTAATTAATCAAATAACTACTAATCATTTTTCTTGAAATAGCCCTTATGTTATAATTTGAATATCCCTTATGATATATCTTTCCTCTCATTAAGTTTCCCTTAATTTCCAGAAATCATCTTATATTTTTCAATACCTTTCATAATAAAGATTCTTTTTCATTCCCTCTGCTGTAATTAACTTTCCTTACTTTAAATAAATTAACATTGAATAACATTTGTTATTTCATGGAGCTAATCTGAATTACAACATGACCTTGAAAGGTAAAGATAACTAAAATTCCAAATAGGAAAATACACAAGCTGCCAACTACAGGAGAACATTGCTGAATTGGTGACACTCTTGTATCTTAAAGGCAGTAATGTCAGGAAAATAGCATAATTCCCTTGAATTAGACAATATCACAATCATAGATCAGTCATGATCTATAGAATCCCTTAAAATTCTGAATTATTATGGGTGCAATTACTTTGGTATTATTTTGAATAATAGGAAATGTTTATCTGAAAATGTTCACTGGAAATACGAGATTATACACTAGATTCATTTGGTTTATGGACTGATTGATTGATTGGCAGATCTTAGTAGCTAACCCAGGATGGACTTGATTTCATAATCCTCTCTCCTCAATATCTCAAGTGCTAGGATCTAGAGATGAACACCAACACATCAGTTTGGGGGTAGCTCTTTTTTTAGATTTTGTTTTGTATATAGTTTCCTCGTTTTCCTCTTCCCACATTCAGCAGTTTTTCGGATTGCATCGTACCTGGCATATAATCTATCATCTGAAAAGCTATCTGCATTAATTTCTGAAATATAATTCATTTTCCTTACTATAAAACATTCATTTCCAGATTAATAAAAAAGCTAAAGTGTTTCCCTTCTACAAAGACTACAAATATATAACATAAACATAATAATTAAAAAAAAACCCTACCCACAATCCAGTAACTGAATTAGTTAGATTAAGTGTCTTGAATGAAATCTATTGGCATCGTTTTGCTTATAAAAGCATAGGCTGTTTCTGGATTCTGTGTACAATTAGGTGATCATCCGTACTGTGTTTAAAAATGTTCTTATTGTTTAATTACATTGAATAATTAAATGATGAAATGGAATAATGAGATGCTTTGCCACAGCTATGTGAATAAAAGAAAATCATAACCACTTAGAGATGATAAAAATAAATTATTATTCAGTCACATAATTGCTCATCTCTTCAGCAAATATACCTTTCTGGAAAGAAGTATCCTAAGTTGGAGAAAAAAAAATCATTCTTTTTCTTGTAAAATTTTTAATTGTTCTTGTAAAAGTGATGTACAGAGTTTACAGTTGTATCAGATGGGTAATTAGTACATTTCTTTTTGGACAATGCCACCCCTTCTCTTGCTCTCTCCCAATTGTTCCCTCAGGTCCTCACCCAGAAGTTATATAGTTCATTTTCAACAAAGTATCTAATGAGAACCAATGCTATAGTTGTTAACCCCTTATCCCTCAATGTCTATGGAGACTAAATGTTTCTAAGTGTCTTTGTTGAGATATATTTTATGCATATAAAGTAATTATAGCTATGCTTTACTGATAATAGCTCAAAAGTTTGATAATCAAAATTTATATGATCATCTGAAGTGTTTTTACTGGCAAATAAAAATTTTAAATCTAGAATCTCATAGTTTCAGTGTGCTTTTATTAACAGCCACTAAAATATGCTAAAAATCTATGGCTTTAAAATATATTCTGGATCTAAAGGTCATATTTGAAAGATAATCATATATAATTAAGTGATACTTATGCAACATATAATTGATGGTAAAGTTCATATTCTCAAGGTGCTATTTTATATTCAAAGTTATTCTAATTATGAATTATATGAAGAGTGATGTCTTATTTTTATGTTCATATTTCTTCCCTTACTTTCATTTCCACTGCCTGAAATTTATAATCCTACTTATGTGTTTGTGTGGTTTATTTTATTGTGTCAAGTGTGACTTGATGATCACAGGATTTTTACAAAGTATATCTAAACTTGTCATTCTTTATTTTATGAATGGATTTGTATAATCAGTAATTATATATTTGTATAATCAGTAATTATAAAGAGCTGCTTTTAGAGTAAATAAATTACAATTCTTTTATAGCCTGCAAAATAGTAATTAGTAACATATGAAAAAACAGATTACCTGTTGTTAAGTCCTATACAATAACAAGGACCATAAAGCATTACTGAACACTTTTCCTTCTTGATGTACTTTTCAATTAAACACAGTGTCAAAGTATGAATTTAGAACAATCATACAATAGAAAATTTGGAAACAGGGGCTGGGAATGTGGCTTAGTGGTAGAGTGCTTACTTAGCATGCATGGAACCCTGGGTTTGATTCCTCAGTACCACATACACAGAAAAAGCCAGAAGTGGTGCTGTGGCTCATGTCGTAGAACACTAGCCTTGAGCACAGAGAGGCTCAGAGACAGAGCCCAGGTCCTGAGTTCAAGCCTCAGGACTGGCAAAAAAAAAAGAAAAGAAAAAAATTGAAGACATGTTTATATCTGTATATTGATAAAAGTTGTAACACAAATTATCTATAATTTCATATTTCCAACTACTATTAACTTGTAAGTACTTGCACCTCAGTTACATCACAGTTTGCCCTAAGTTATTATTAAAACAAAAGTTAATATAATACCTGAAAGTTTCCAAAATTTTCACACTCATGTTTCTATAAAGTTAAAAATATTTCCAAAACATATGTATGGCTGGGTGCCGGTTGCTCACACCTGTTATCCTAGCTACTCAGGAGGCTGAGACCTGAGGATTGTGGTTCAAAGCCAGCCAGAGCAGGAAACTGTGAGACTCTTATCTCCAATAAACCACTCAGAAATCTGGAAGCAGCTCTGTGGCCCAAGTGGTAGAGTGCTAGCCATGAACTGAAGAGCTGAGGGACAGTGCACAGGCCCAGAGTTCAAGCCCCATGACCAACTGACAAAACAAAACAAATCAAAAAACTTATGTATGAAGGTTGCTGCTGTCTATTCTTGAAGAAGCTAAGCTTCTCCAGAGGAGAGGGGAACATGGTATATAAAAATTGAAAAGCTTGTTCTCATGCATCATGACAGTTTATACATTTTTGAACCATATGATTTTCTATCAAGATAAGATATTAGCATTTATAAGATAGAAAATGCATATATTAAAATCCAGTCATAATACAATAAAAGAGAGTATATGTTCCTATGACAATTATTACAGAATATCAAAGATTGAAGTTGTAATTTCCAAACTTGATGGAGAGTACTGTGAATAAAGGTTAAAACACTCCTCTGCAATTTATGAAGCCTATGTTGGGTCAAGCTCTCTTGTCCCAATTGACACCAACACTATTACTTACAGCCTCTTTTTGATGCTTGGTGGGCTCTAGTTCTACTTTTAGACTAGTCTTTTGTTGATGACTCTGTAGAATAGTTAGAGCAGACAGAATTACCACTGGTGCCATCCATTGCTTTCTTGAGATGTGCCTAGCACAAAGTGGAACCCATTTTCCGGGATGAAATCAGATGAAGGACTCCTTGACGGATCTGCTTGTTCTTCACACTGTAAATAATTGGGTTGAGCACTGGTGAAACCATTAAGTAGCTATGAGCCATAAAGATGTGAACAAAGGGAGATGAATGTTTGGCAAAGCGATGGACAATAGATAACCCTATCATGGGCACATACAGAATGAGCACAGCACAGATGTGGGATGCACAAGTGTTAAGTGCCTTAAGCCTGCCCTCTCGGGATGCGATTCTTAACACTGAGTGGAGGATGAAAATGTAAGATACTAAAATTCCCAGAGAGTCCATACCCCACAGCATACTAATCACAATCATCCCATAAATGACATTAAATCTGATGTCAGCACAGGCCAGGCGGATTATGTCCTGGTGCAGACAGTAGGAATGAGAAAGGACATGGGAGTGACAGAAGGAAAAAAAAGCCAGACGAACAAGAAGTGGAATTAGTGGAATAGCACTTCGAAGCAGGGCTGCAATTCCAATCTTGGCAATCAGTTTTGGGGTGAGAATGGTAGCATATCGCAGGGGGTGGCAGATAGCCACATACCTGTCAAGGGCCATGGCCAAGAGCACAGATGATTCAGTGAAGGAGAAAGTGTGAATCAAAAACATTTGGACCACACAGACACTGAAGGGGATCTCCCTAGAAATGGACCACAACACCCTAAAAAGGGATATCATTGGGGTCAAAGACATGGCCATGTCTGTGAGAGAGAGCATAGCAAGGAAGTAGTACATGGGCTCATGGAGCCTGGAGTCAGTCCGGACAATATATAGGATGGAGCAATTGCCTGTTATCCCAACCAGATAGAGGAAGCAGAATGGGATGGAAATCCAGTGGTGATATTCTTCATAGCCTGGGATCCCGGTGAGGTAGAAGGTGGAGGACAGTGCACTGCTGGAGTTTGAGGCTGCCATAGAGTGGATAGTTTGACCACAGTCCAGCTCCACAGACATACTCTAGTGAGACACTGTCTGCTTCATGGTGGGGAAGGGGTAAGAGAAAAAAAGGAAACAACAACTTCATTGGCTTAGCTCAAATCACTCCTTAATCTATCCCCCTCATTCCTGCTTCATCTTCTCCCTTTCATTGTTGGTGTTTGTCAATTTGGTAACCAGGATCAGATTTTTATATTTTTTATTATAAAGATACTGTAGAGAGGGGTTACAGTTACATGAGTAAGGTAGTGAGTACATTTGTACGATGTGATTTTTTTTTGTTTTTCTTGTTTGTTCTTCCCCCATGGTATAACCCCTGTTTTCACTCTATTTGATCAGTGCCCTGCATTTTGCATATACATTTTTCTAATTTGGGGAGGGGAAGGGAAATAACAAAAATCAGGATCATAACTTTTGACTCCCAATTCAAATTCATTCCTCTTTGGTCAAGAGAAACATCCTGTATTAAGAAAGATGAGTTGTTCTTCACCATACCACTTGTACATCATTTGCTAAGGAACTGCTAATGTAAGAATTAGCAACCTATGGAATGGATTATTTCCCAAAACAAGAAAATATGTTAGCATCTTCTTGTAAGATTTTCATTGTTGGAGAATGTCAATTCCCTTTTAATCTCCTTAAGCCTCGAGTGAATAAATTCTAGGTATTTGTTTCATAGTTATAATTTTCTAGGAAATTAAACCAGAATTTGAACATGCAAATTCCAATGTATATCCAGTCTTTCTGATTCTTTATAATACCAGATTCGATCCATATATTCTGTAAGTCAATATCCCCTTTCCTTGCTATCTTCCTCCCTCTGACAACCTCATAATAATCCCAAATCCCTCTTACTATTTCTCATAACTCTTATGTGGATTCCTTTACAGTGTCATTCATGATCAAAATACAGAAATCTGCTTCTTTTACACTTCACTGACTAATTAGCTCTGACCACTTCTCTGACTTTATATATTTTGTTCTTCATGTCTAAAAAGGTATAAACATGAGGTCTAATTGAGATATGTGACCTTGCAGTCAGTGTGAACCATACTTATGTCAATACATTTATTTCAAAGTTTAAGGACTAATTTGCTCACTATCTCCTTCTTAGTGGTGTTTCTCTGGCTCTGCAGTCACATCAGCCTACATTATATTCTGATTCCAATGTTGCACACTTTGTTTTTGTTTTGTTGTTTTTGTTTTTTTGGTACCAGTATTGGAGGTTGAAATCAAAGCCTGTGCTGCTGCCCTCTAGCTTTTCATTGAAGGCTAGCATTCTACTACTTGAGCCAAAGCTCTACTTCCGGCTTCTTGGTGATTAATTGGAGATAAGAGTCTCACTGAAAAGGAGGAAGTAACAATGCTTGATAAGAAATGTACTCATGGGCTGAGAAGTTGGCTCAGTGGTAGAGTGCTTGCCTTGCATGCATGAGGCCCTGGATTTGATTCCTCAGCACCACATAAGCAAAAAGAAAAAAGCCGGAAGTGGTGCTGTGGCTCAAGTGGTAGAGCGCTAGCC